GCCCCACGGCCGACCAAAAAAAAAAAAAAGACTAGCACTTTGAGCCACAGCACCACAACTGGTTTTCTGGTGGTTAACTGGAGATAAGAGTCTGAAGGACTTTTCTGCCCAGGCTGGTGTCAAACCAGGATCCTCAGATCTCAAAATCCTGAATAGCTAGGATTGCAGACATGAGCTACTGGCACTTGGTTTCACATATATACATACATATGTATATGTGTGTGTGTGTGTGTGTGTGTGTAATTTCTAATCAAGGCTGGTGCTTTATCACTTGAACCATACCTTCACTTACAGCTTTTTACTGGCTAACTGGAGATAAGCCTCTCACTGACTTTTCTGCCCACGCTGGCTTCAAACCACAATCCTCAGATTTTAGCCTCCTGAATAGCTAGGATTGCAGGTGTGAGCCACCTGAACCCAGCTGGAGCACTTTTTTTTTTCTTTTTGTTGGTCATGGGGCTTGAACTCTGGGCCTGGGCGCTGTCCCTCAGTTCTTCAGCTCAAGGCAAGTGCTCTACCACTTGAGCCATAGCGTCACTTCTGGTTTTCGGGTAGTTTATTGGAGATAAGAGTCTCACAATCTTTCCTGCCTGAGCTGGCTTTGAACTGTGATCCTCAGATCTCAGCCTCTTGAGTAGTTAGGATTCAGGCGTGAGCCACTGGCACTAGGTTCCCATTTTTTTTTCTCCTCTAATTCTCCAAGCCATGAGCTGTAGGCTGTACTTCTCCCCCCTCCCCCACCTCTCTACAGAGGTACAAAGGTGCCTCTTCCTATGCTATTCCCACAGTGGGGCACTATGTGAAGTCTGAGCAAAGGCACCCTGTGGACATCACCCATATGGTACCAGCCTGCCTGCAATCGCACCTGAAAAGCATTCTGTGAACTCCTGCTCCAGTTTGGTGGCTCTGTCGAAGGCTTTACGGGCTTGTTCCTCTGTGATCCGCTTGTTAATCTCTCTGTAAAGAGGGAAAGAAACAGCGACTTGAAGGTGGGCCTACCCTCTGCCTTCTACCTCCTCCATTCAAGGATGTTAAGTTGTAACCTGGATTTTCTTATTTGGAGCATGTAGCAAAAAAAAAATTCTGATACCCTCTTGATTCACAGATGAGCCTCACCCACATGACCCACCCCAACCCGGTTCGCAAGACTTTTCAGGCGCTTGTCCCACTAGTCTTCAGCCTCAGAGAAAAGATCCAGAAGACTTTAACTCTTTTTATTTTATTTTTTGCCAGTCTTGGGGCTTGAACTTAGGGCCTGGGCACTGAGCTTCTTTTTGCTCAAGGCTAGCACTTTATCTATTGAGCCACAGCACCCCTGAGGGCTTTTTCTGTTTATGTGGTACTGAGGAATTGAACCCAGGGTTTCATGAATGCTAGACAAGCACTCTACCACTAAGCCACCTTCCCAGCCTGACCTTAACTCTTAACTACTCTTGAGGCTGTGGCTGCTGTATGCTCCAGAGGCTGCTGAGAGCTGTAACCCTGCTTAGCCCCAAGGCAGAAGAGGATAGGAAAGGCCTGGAACTTCCTGCAACCTGGGGCTTTAGCTCTCCATGCAACAGCACCTTTGTGAGCTGCTGGAGTCACGGCCCAGGGCTCTGAGGGCAAATGTAATGCAGCGGCCTTAAGAGGCCCAGAACCACAGAGGTGTGGGGAGCAGAGGGAAGGCCCCCAAGACCATACTCACAGCACATTCTCCAGGGATCGGGGGCGAATGAAGATGGCGATAGGGTGCAGGTGGGCCGCCTGCAGCCGCCGCACAGCATTGGCGGAGACATCAAGGATGCAGTGCTTCCCCTGGGGGCAGGCAGGGTAGGCGGAGGGGGACCAGCGGGTAGCAGAAAAGGACAGACAGAGGTGCCAGGAAGGGATGGCAGGCCATGGGAAGGTGGGGATGGGTGTCAAAAGACATGTGAGCGAGCGTTGAAAGAGGTATGGACAGAATGGAGACAGAGAGAAAAGAAAGGAAGGGGAAACGGCAAGCCAGATGGGAGGGCAGGAAAGGAACAGAGTGGAGGATGTGATAAGAAACAGGCAGGGAGGGGGACCCAAAAAGATGGAGGCAAAGTAGAGGCCAGCAGAGCAACAGACCGAGGAGTGAGGAGTGGAAGGCAGGCCAGGCCAGGTAGGGAAAGAAAGCCAAGGGAAAAGAGAAAAGAAGTAGGATACAGGGAGGAGGGAGGGGAGGACAGACAGAGGACAGACAGATGGAAGAAACAGGAGAGACAGATGGGAGGGAGAGGAGGCAGATGGAGAAAAGGAGCCAAGGAGGGAGGGCAGGCAGGGTGCAGAGCAGCAGGGAAAAGGAGTTGGGAGTGGGAGAGGGGAGTTAGTACCCCCAAGAAAAGGGAGGGGGGAAAAGCCAGAGGGGAGTCAGGAAGTTGGGGGAGACCAAGGCACCAAAGACAAGGCCACAGGAAATGTCGAGAAATGAGGGCAAGGCGAAGGGAAGCAGTGAGGAGAAAGAGACAGATGGTGGTGAGGAATGTGGGGTCAGGAAGTGAGGGGAACAGGGCACAAAGAGCAGACGGTCAGAGTTGCCCAAGAGAGGGAGGTGGAGGAGCCGAGCGTAGTGGAGACCCAGCAGGGAAAGAGACAGAGAGAAAGAGAGTTAGAGAGAGCTGGAAGGAGGCAAAGGGGTGGGGAGAGGGCAGGAGGAAGAGGATGGAGCACCCACTGGGTCCTACCTGCTCGGCTACCTCTCGCACAGACTGGACGCTGGTTCCATAGAGGTGGCTGTTATACTGGCCAGCCTCGATGAACTTGTGTGCCTGAATGTCCTTCTCCATTTTCTCCCGGGACGATACAAAATGGTAATCCCGGCCATCTATCTCATATTCCCGCTTAGGCCGTGTCGTATCTGCCAGGAAGTGACCCCACCCCACAAAGATCTAACCACCATCCCCCACTTGAATACTGACCAAGATCAACCCCTGCTCCCCCCCACAGTATGTCCAGTTGGTCTTGGAAGAAGGCTATTGGGGGGGCCAAAATTGAGGAGAGACAGAACTGTCTCCCAGGGGAGGCCCCCTAGTTTCTGGCTTGGATTTGCCTACTGGCGAATACAAGGGTAGATGAGACACACCCCTCCCATGACAAAACATGTCCCCTAGCACCCCAATACCCACAGGTAGTTCTATCTATATCTATGTCACAAGTGGGGCTCCTCAGTCCCTCCCCACCCTCCATCCCCACCCCCCACCTCCATCCAAACACTCACGAGGGACACAGGATCCAAACTTGTCGGGGAACTCAGAGAGAAGATCATCATTGGCTCGGTCCTTAGTGGGGCCAAGGATGATGATGGGGCGAGCATAGTGCACTGAGGAGAGAGCCAGGCTTAGGCTGTGAACAAGACCAGGGGGACAGAAAGGCTGAGGCCAAAGCAGGGGCCAGGGCTCAGGGCTCACCTTCCATCTGTGTCACTGTCTCGTAGCTCAGAACAGAGTCTTCTCGACCTGGAAGGAAACAGGCATCTGCAAGAGCCTCCAAGCCAGAAGCCTTGGAGCCCTTGTCTCACCTGCCTTTTTTTTTTTTTTGTCAGCCATGGGGCTTGAACTCAGGCTCGGACACTGTCCCTGAGCAAGTTTTTGCTCAAGGCTAGCGCTCTACCACTCTGAACCACAACTCCACTTCTGGTTTTTAGATGGCAAATTGTAGAGAAGAGTCTCCTAGTCTTTCCTGCTTGGGATGGCTTTAAACACGATCCTTAGATCTCAGCTTCCTGAGTAACTGGGATTACAGGTATGAGCCACCAGCATTTATTTTCTTTCTTTCTTTCTCCTTTTGCTCAAGACTAGTATTCTACTACTTGAGTCACAGCTCCACTTTCAGCTGTGTGTGTGTGTGTGTGTGTGTGTGTGTGTGTGTAACTGGAGATAGGAGTCTCCCAAACTGTTCTGCCCCAGCTGGCTTCAGACTATGCTTTGTTAGGATTCCAGGCGTGAGCCAATGGCACCGGGCTCACCTGCCTTCTTGAGGAGATCAAGAGCATTCAGTGCTCCTCTCACCCCAGAGTTTCCTGATTGATTCTACCTACCCTGTGATCCAGAGCTGGAGCCCCAGTCCTAGGAAGAGAAAAAGGCCACATGGTGGGTTAAGGGTTCAGCTTCACCCAACCCCCACTCTTCCACCAAGCTTACCCCTCCTCCACCTACCTTGGCTTTTAACCTTGACCACTCCCGTCGCTCAACCCTGTGGGATACAGGTTGGGATGAGGAATAGCCCCTACTTTCTGGACCAATTGAGAACTCCATCTTCTAGCAGCACCTGGGCCCAGTTCTCCTCAATGGAGTTGTCTGACGCAAAGGTTCACAGGAGCCATAGTCCCCTGACACCTGACACCCCCACTCTCCCCCCACACACACACCATGAGTCCCCTACTGGCTGCCCAAGGGAAAACCTGGGAAACTTCAGGGCCTGTAGCAGGAAGGCTCAGTTCCCAGGAGCCTCACCGTCGTTTGCTGGGAATAAAGCCAATATCGTCGGTCTCACTATCAGAGTGGACCCGCCGTGCCTGCCACCACTCTTCATCACTAGCGTCAATTACGTGAAGCACATCCCCAAAGTGGAAGCTCAGGGCCTGGCTCAGGAAGCCGCAGTCCTTGGTCTTGTCATAATCAAACAGGGCCCTAGAGGGTAAAAAGCTCCAGGTCAGGGTCTAGCTGAGGACTCCAGGAAGAATGCATCAGCCACCCTGAAACCAGTAGGGAGATACAATAAAGAGGTCCTAGAAAACACAGGCTGCTGCCAAGTGCCAGAGGCTCACACCTATAATTCAAGCTACTCAGGAGGCTGAGATCTGGGGATCCCAGTTCAAAGGCAGCCCAGGCAGGAAAGTGGGTGAGACTCTTATCTCCAATTAACCATTAGAAAACCAGAAGTGGCAATGTGGATCAAAGTGGTAGAGTGCTAGCCTTGAGCAAAAGAGCTCAGGGACAGCACTCAGGCCCTGAGTTCAAGCCCCATCACACACACACACACACACACACACATACACACACACAAAGTACAGGCTGCTAATGACATGCACACAGCAACCCAAACTATACAGACCAAAAACTGCTATAATTCAAAATGCCACAATAATGTACACAATGTATGCAATTTCCACAGTGAGAGCAAGAACTCCAGGAAGAACTGGGCACTGTTGGTTTATACCTGTAATCCTAGCTACTCAGGAGGCTGAGATCTGAGGAACCCAGTTCAAAGCCAGCCCAGGCAGGAAAGTCCTTGATACTCTTATCTCCAATTAACTATTAAAAACTAGAAGTAAAGCTGTGGCTCAAGTAGTAGAGCACTAGCCTTGAGCCAAAAAGCTTAGAGACAGCACCCAGGCCCTGAGTTCAAGTCCCAGGACCAGCACAAAAATAAATAAGGCTGGGCTCTGGTGGCTCATGCCTGTAATCCTAGCTACTCAAGAGGCTGAGATCTGAGGATCGCAGGTCAAAGCCAGCCCAAACAGGAATGGTCATGAGACTCTTATCTCCAGCTACCCACTAGAAAACTGGAAGTGGTGCTGTGGCTCAAGTGGTAGAATGCTCGCCTTGAGCTGAAGAGCACAGGGATAGCACCCAAGCCCAGAGTTCAAGTCCCACAGCCGACAAGAAAAAAAAAAATCCTATAGGTCCACCCTATGCCAAACACTGATTGACCTTTTAGGTACCCAACTGTGAGGCAGTCAGGGGATCCTTAGGGAACTGCCAGGGTGACCAGGGGCTAGAAAACAATTGGGACGCTTGAGACAGAAGCTATTTTCCAATCCAGATGGTACATCCCAGAAGGGCAGCCTGTGTAGTCAAACCCATGAGCACCAGCTAAGTGTCAGGCATGAGTAGAGGAGCAAATGCCAAGCTGGGTTTCAGGAAAGAGCTGGCTCGAGGAACAGGGGTCAGCACAAGGGAAGAGGAATCTACCTGCACCTGAGAAGCCCAGCCCTTGAAGTTTCTGACCTGATGTAGAAACCCCGTTTGGGGTTGCTCCTCAGGGAGGCAGTTCCTGAGCCCAGGCTGCTGTTCATGAGCTGTTCCCGGAGATCGTGGATCTTGGCCTCAAATCGGCTGTACTCTGAGGAAGGACAAGAAGATTCTTTTTTTTTTTTTTTGTCAGTCATGGGGCTTGAACTCTGGGCCTAGGCGCTGTCCCTCAGCTCTTTAGCTCAAGGCTAGCACTTTATCACTTGAGCCACAGCGCCACTTCTGGCTTTTTCCTGTTTATGTGGTATTGAGGCATCAAACCAAGGGCCTCATGCATGCGAGGCAAGAACTCTACCACTGAGCCACCTTCCCAGCCCAAGAAAGTTCTTAACTCTGCCTGATTCTGCTGCCAATATCACCTCCATCTCTGAGTAGCTCAACAGAATTCTGGGAACTATCTTAGCCCTGACCAAAAAATTCTCTTGCCAGAAGACAGTGGTTCATGCCTGGAATCCCAGCTACTCAGGAGGCTGAGATCTGAGGGTTGCAGTTCAAAGCCAGGCTGGGCAGGAAAGGCCAGGAGAGTCATCTCCAGTTAACTAACAAAAAAGCCAGAAGCTATGGCTCAAGTTGTTAGAGTGCTTTAAAAAAAAAATTAAGCTTAAAAGGGGGCTGGGAATGTGGCTTTGTGGTAAAGTGCTTGCCTAGTATGTATGAAACCCTGGATTCTATTCCTTAGAACCACATAGAAAAAGCTGGATGTGGAGCTGTAGCTCAAGTGGTAGAGTACTACCCTTAAGCAAAAGAAGATCAGGGACAGTGCCCAGGCCCTGAGTTCAAGCATCAGGACTGGCACAAAATGGAAAGGAAAAAAGGAAAGGGAAAGGGAAAATGAAAGGGAAAGGAAAGGGAAAAGGAAAAGGAAAAGGAAATCTTAAGTCTGGTACCTTCTGGTTTATACTGAGCAATTATCGTGACTGTCTGACCCGCATTCTTCAGGGCAATGGCAGCCTGCTCATGACTGGCATTGCGGAGATCAACACCGTTGACCTACAAAGGGCAGAAAAGGCTGTCACCAGGGCCAGGGAGGCAGCAGTTCTCAGGTCTAAATGGAGCAGGGTCCAGCAAGACCAGGCTGCAGCCCATCCAGCCCCTTCCCAAGAGCACTGGGAATGGTACAGGCGGGGGGGGGGGCAGGCCTTTCCTCACCGACAGGATCTGGTCCCCCTTCCGCAGCTCCCCACTTAGGTCCGCAGGGCCCCCGGCCAGGATGAAGGAGATGAAGATGCCTTCACCATCCTCGCCCCCCACAATGTTGAAGCCCAGGCCCGTGGAGCCCCGGTGGATCACAATTCGCCTCGGTTCTCGGGGAATATCTTCCTCCCCAAGCAGGTCCTTGGCCACTGGGGAGTAGCGGCGAGGGGAGGTGGGGGTCATGGCTGTGGGGTAGTCAGTGCCCAGGTAGCTGCTGTGACTGATCTCGTTGTCCAGGTGCTGGGAGTAAGCTGAGAGAAGACAGGGAAGGATGAGATGGAAATGTAAGGAGCAAACAGCCCCCACCAGCCCCCCACTTCTCCAGAGGAGTAAAGGAAACCAAGAAAGCCAGACTCAGGCAACAGGGAAGTTAGTTTATGTATTTTATTTAATTTTTTTTGGCAGTACTGGGGTTTAAATTCAGGGTTTTGAGCTTGCTAGACAAGAGTTCTATCACTCAAGCCTCCAGACCTTTTTACTGAGTTATTTTTGAGACAACATCTCACTTTTTGCTTGGGCTAACCCAAACTGTGATTCTCTCTTTTTTTTTTTTTCATATTGTGGGGCTTGAACTCCGGGCCTGGGCACTGTTCCTCAGCTCTTCAGCTCAAGGCTAGCACTCTACCACTTGAGCCACAATGCCACTTCCAGCTTTTTCTGTTTATGTGGTACTGAGGAATCGAACCCAGAGCTTCATGCATGCTAGACAAGCACTCTACCACAGAGACACATTCCCAGCCTGATCCTCCTATTCTCATTTCTCTCTTGGGATGACAAGTATGCATCACAACACGCAGGTTTTTCTTCAGATGGGGTTTCTTTAACTTTTATTGCCCAGCCTGTCCTTGAACCATGATCATCCTCAGTTTAGCCTACCTGATAGCTACTATTACAGGTTCAAGACATTGTGCCCTGCTTGAAAGGGAAGTTGTATTGCTAGAGACAGTTGGTGGGGTAACTAAGGGAATTTAGAAGTGATAACAGAGCTTTGTTCTACTACAGGGATAAAGGACTTTAAGGTTATATGTCTTCAGTTTACCAGGGATGTTAAAATCAAAGGTGGCTATAACACTACAGTTTGCGGGGGTGGGGGTGGAGGGGTTCCTTTGGTTCACATGTCTCAAATCTCTTAATCCATAAAATTCCTTTTTCTTTTTCCCCTTTCATTTGTTGAAAAACTAGGTCAGTTGTCTAGATTTTCCCACATTCTTTTTTTTTTTTTTTTGGGTCCAGTGGTGGGGCCTGAACTATGGGCCTGGGCGCTGTTCTTCAGCTCTTCAGCTCAAGGCTAGCACTCTACCACTTGAGCCACAGCGCCACTTCTGGCTTTTTTCTTTTTGCTTATGTGGTGCTGAGGAATCAAACCCAGGGCCTCATGCATGCAAGGCAAGCGCTCTACCACTGAGCCACCTTCCCAGCCCTTTCCCATATTCTAACAGGAGCATTCCTGCTTACATCCCGATAATCTTGTAACATGTAAACCAGGGGCTTGTCCTACAGGCTAAATCAGATTCAAATTCAATGTGTGAAGGGCTGGGGATGTAGCATTCGCCTAGCATGCAGAGGGCATTTGTTCAATCTCTAATACTGCCAAAACAACACAAAAAACTTAATTATCAAATTCAATGTGTGAGTGTATTTCCCAAGAGACACTGTGTGCATCCTATTGTATCATCACAAGATGCAATGGCATCTGATTGTCTTTCTGTTAGTGAAGATCCACTGGTAAGTTCAGGACTTGCTAGCCTGCACCACCCATTTGATGTGCCCCATCAATCCTTTTCCTAATCTTTCATAGCCATTCATTATCACTGCCAGATTATGATACCAGAGATTGCAATAGGGTGAGTCTATTCTCTTGGGAGGGAGAAAGGATGAACATTAGTGGGACTTCCATAAAGAACATCAGACAGGCATTACAGGCTCATGCCTATAATCCTAACAACTGAGATCTAAAGGATCATAGTTCAAAGCCAGCCCAAGCAGAAAAGCTCACTAGACTCCATCTCCAAATTAACTAGCAAGCTGGGCACTGGTTTCTCACACCTGTAGTACTAGTTATTCAGGAGGCTAAGATCTGAGGATCACAGTTCATTCCAAGCCAGCCCTAGCAGAAACATGTTTTATCTCCAATTAAACACCAAAGCCAGAACTGGAGGTATGGCTCAAGTGGTAGAGCATCAGCTGAGCAAGTATAAGGCCCTGAGTTTAAATTCAGTACCATAAAAAAAAAAAATCAAAGCTAGGGCTGGTAACTCACACCTGTAATCCTAGCTACTCAGGAGGCTGAGATCTGAGAACTGCAGTTCAAAGCCAGCCTGGGCAGGAAAGTCCATGAGACTCTTATCTCCAATAAACCACCAGAAAACCGGAAGTGGTGCTGTGGCTCAAGTGGTAGAGCACTCCCCTTGAGCTAAAGAGCTGAGAGACAGGGCCCTGGCCCAGAGTTCAAGACCACTGACTGATAAAAAAAAAAAAATCAAGCTGGTACCAGTGGCTAATGCCTGTAATCCTAGCTATTTAAGAGGCTAAGATCTGAGGATCTGGGCTCAAAGGCAATCCAGGATGAAAAGTCTATGAGACTTTTATCTCCAATTAACCTTTCACAAACCAGAAATGGAGCTGTGGCTCAAAGTGCTAGAGTGCTAGCCTTGAATAAAAGAGCTCAAGGACAGTACCCAAGCCTGAGTTCAAGCCCCACAGCCAAATAATGGTGATGATGATGATGACAATGATGATGATGGCTGGACACTTGTTGCTCACACCTGTAATTCTAGCTACTCAAGAGGCTGAGATCTGAGGATCATGGTTCAAAGCCAGCCTGGACAGAAAAGTCCATGAGATTCATTCCCAATTAATTAATTAAAGCTGGAAGTGAAGCTGTGGCTCAAGTGGTAGAGTACAAGTTTGGAGCAAAACAGCTCAGGAACAGTGCCCAAGCATTCAGGAGTTCAAGCATTCAGGAACAACACACACATACACTCACACACAAGGGAACTATCACCTTTTGGTTAACTCTAAGGTGCAATTTGCACAGAAAAAGGAGGACAGATTGATTCTCTTTATATTTTCAGAATGAATGGCTTTCCCCCAAGAAAGCCTATCCTCATCCAAAGGTATGATATTCTTTTTTTCCTGAAGTGCTGGGGACTGAACCTAAGGCTATGCTCGTGATACATAAGCTGTACCCTGAGCTTGATGCTCATTTGATCACAGCGTGGTTCTTTTCCAGTCAGAGTCTCACTATTGCTTATACTTGATTCTGAGCTCAAACAATTCTCTGGACTTAGCTTCCTAAGTATCTGGTGCATACAACCATACCTGGCTTCCTCACCATTTTTGGCAGAACTGGGGTTTGAACTCAGAGCCCCACACTTGCTTGGCTTGCTTGCGTTGTCATTCTGTCACTTGTTCCAACTACTCTTTGCTGGTTATTTTTGGAGATGGAGTCTAGCAATCTTTTCTGTCCAGGCCAGCACTGAACCACTATCCTCAGGATCTCAGCCTGTGGATTAGCTAGGAAAACAAGTATGAGCCACTGACACCTGGCCACCCTAGGAATCTTGATACCATCTTTGCTTTCTAGTTTGAAAGACATTAAAGCACATCCTATACAATTTTTGTGCCTTTTTTAAATGCAGGATTTCACTATATAACTGGGTTCAACCTCCTAGTTCTGGGATTACAGGTAATACCATTTGCTCACATCTTATATATTTCTTGTCCAAGGGCTGGGAATGTGACTTTAGTGGTAGAATGATTGCCTAGCATGAGTGAAGCCCTGGGTTTGATTCCTCAGCATCATAAAAACAGAAAAGGCCAGAAGTGGTACGGTGGCTCAAGTGGTAGAATGCTGGCATTGAACAAAAGAAACTCAAGGGCAGTGCCCAGACTCTGAGTTCAAGCCCCAGGACTGGCAAAAAAAAAATTCTTATCCAAAATTTGGAATCAACCCTTTTTCCAAAGATCCCAAATTCCTTTTGATAGGTTACAGTATTTAGAAACAGCCCTGTGATCTCCACTCATCTGATCGAATCACTACTAAATAACCCCATGCTGCTGATCACATATATGGTATGTACACACCAGAGGGAAACTAGGAGGAGGACACAGAACTAGAGGGAATCAGGGAAAAACATACAACAGTGGGACCCATCAGCTGCATTGGACATTGAATAAAACAAACCAAGCAACTTAATGGCAGCGATGGGAGGGAGGGAATGAGTGGAAAAGAGGGAACAGCTGACACTATGCAAAAGGAAAGGAATGTACACATCACCCGATGTGGAAGAAATAACTGTATTGTCAAAGCCCATAGAACTCATACACGTTATAGACCACGATAGACAATTTGTCCCATGAAGGTTAGAATGTGTTTGTGACTTTAAGTAAACATCACTATCCCACAATACTGTGAAATTTGTGAAATTATGTAATCACTTAATCACAATAAAAGAATTTGCGAGAAAACATTAAAAATTAAAATAAATAGTCCTGTGATTTATTTTTTTGTCAGTTGTGGGGCTGGAACTCTGGGTTTGGGCACTGTCCCTGTGCTCTTCAGCTCAAGGCAAGCACTCTACCACCTGAGCGACAGTGCCACTTCCAGTTTTCTAGTGATTTATTGGAGTCTCATGGATTTTGCTGCCCGAGGTGGCTTTGAATCATGATCTTCAGATCTTAGCCTTCAAAGTGGCTAGGATTACAGACGTGAGCCACTGGCACCGGGTCAGTCCTGTGATTTTATTATGGCTTTAACATTAACTTTGTATTTTGTCACATTTGATTCTTTTCCAAAATACCTACCACATATTTTTTTCCAGGTAAATTTTAAAATCAACCAGCTAAGTTTCTGGGGAAGTAACAACATGAAAATTCAGATAAAGACCCAAACTAATTTGGAAAGTGCTGAAATCTTTTGCATATTAAGATTTTTCCACCCAGAAACACTGTTTTATTATGTCCTTCAGTAAAAATTTCATCATTTTTTTCTCATTTATATTTCTATCAGATGACAATACTCCTCCCCTTTACTTCCCACCTACTCATTATCAAAAAGCTATGTGACAAAACTGCCCCAGCAAAGTTACTGTGGTTGAGAATGACTGCTCTATAGATGAGGAACAAATAGATGCTATATTAAAAAAAAAGAGCACAGGGCTGGGTAGGTGGCTCAGTGGTAGAGCACTCGCCTTGCATGTCTGAGGCCCTGGGTTCGATTCCTCAGCACCACATAAGCAAAAAGAAAAAAGCCGGAAGTGG